GCTCTGCCGTTGCCGTTGCTGCTACTGCCACCTGCTGCTACCACGACTAGTGGTTACACGGCTGCTCCTACTCGACACCTTCTACTGCAACCTCGGACTACACCTCTCTCAAAGCACCGACCACTCGAGAGGAACGAGGGGAGCGGACAGAGGGAAAACGGAGAAAGGCAGGGTTGTCTCGAACCACCTCGCCCGACCACCTCGTCCCGACTGCCTCTCATCTTGGACGGCCGAAGTGAACAAAAAAAAATGAGCACGATGCCCAGCAGAAAAAAAACCTTATCCAAAACCGACAGCGGCCGCTGCTGGGCAGGCGGCCTTCTGTGCCAGATGGACAACATCCGCGGCGACATCGACAGCGAGTCCTACCCAAGTGAGCAGAAACTGATGTTGGGATTCGTACCAATTCTTTGCGCGCCCATTTCGGTCCTCCAGTAGAGGCCTCCTAGATGGGGTCGGAGTAGATGGGGTCGGATGATCGCGCCGCATCTCCGATACATCGGCGATGCATCGGGGATGCATCGGCGATACATCAGCGATGCACTGGCGAAGCATCGTCGACGTGGGCGATGCATCGGCCACGTCGACGTGAAGCAAATCGGGCGCCACATCGAGCCGCATCGGCGATGCATCGGCGACGCGGCGCGAGCCTCCGACCCCATCTGCTCCGACCCCATCTGGGAGGCCTAGATCCAGACGGTTCTTCGCCTCGAACTGCCTCGCCCGCCACCGCCTGGGTTCAGTGGCCCCGAATGAAGAGGTTCCCCCTGGGCTCTACTGAAGACCAGTTGTGCCCTCGTTATAGCACGTGCCCCGCAACCCTCACGCATCGAGAGTGGCTGTGCGAGGCCAACACGGGCCGCGAGGATTACTCCAAAAGGGACTGCTTGGCCCCGCAGGCGCTGGCTGGCGCTGAGGCCCACCCCGCCACCAAAACCTGGGGCCCACCTCGCCATGGGCACCGCTTCGCCAGGGCACCGCCGCGCCCAGCCTCGACCGTCGTCGCCTCCGCCTGCCCGCCCGCCGTATCCGCGCCCTCGCGGCCTGGATTCCAGGGCGCGCTCCCGCGGACACGCGGTCGCCCGGACGCGCTCCGCGCGGGGGCATCCGCGACAAACAACAAAAAAGACGCCCCGGATGCGCGGGGCCGCGGCCCAGGGGCCCGGCCCGCGAGGCCGCGGGTGCGGGCACGTCTGTTCGCCCACGACGTCGGCCCGCCGGGGTCCGAACGACCGCCCGCCTGTCCGGGTCCAGCCGACCTCTCGCGCGCCGGGGGCCGCCCGCTCGGGACCCCCCCTCGGTCCCCATGTCGCTCCTGACAGACAGCTCTTCCCCAAGAGGCGCCCGAGAGGCCCCCATAGAGGCCTGCAAAGAGAGGCCCTCAGGAGGCATCCCAAGAGACCTCCACGAGCATGCAGAATTGGACTCTGGCCCAGTCCAGGCACGGTGCCTCCACAGCCCAGAAAGCCCCGATACAACCTAAGAGGGCTCCAAGAGGCCCTTCAGGAAGGCCCGAAGAAGCCAAAATCATTGATGTTCGTTCGGCGGAATATCGCGTTTTCGCCTTTTAGTGCTTCCCCGAGCGTAAGACGGCCCTAGAGGCCTCCAAGATAGCCCAAAGACAATCCCAAAGCCACCAGACCCCAAGACGGGCCAAGAGGGTCACAAGACGGCACAAGAGGCTCCTAAAACGGCCCCACGAGGCCCCCAAGACGGCCCAAGGGACCTCGACGACCACCAAGACAGTCTCCGAAGGCCAAGAAGCCCCTTTAAGAGGCCCTCAGTGGCCCCGACGTGCCGTTTCCCTCTGCACGCGAATGCCGTCGAATGTACCCACGCTACTCTAACACGCTGCTCCTCTCCAGCTAATACCCCGCATCGCCGCTGGTTGCATGTAAAGGTAAAACTCTAATGGGCTCTACCTGTGGATGCCGAGTTAGCTACGCTGCACCGCTGGCAGCCTCCTGATTCCCGAAACAGTTTGCATCAGAATCCACTGTAGCGTGGCCATACTCGGCTTCAGCATCTGAGCTAACATGATATCGCTTGGATATCAGTTGACGGTCCAAACGACGGACAGAGGCCCGCAAGAGACCCAGGAGGCCCCCAAAGAGACCCCTTCAGGCGACGACAACGATGACCAGCAAGTGGCAACGAGAAGAATGACGAGAACGACGACGACCACGACGACAACGACGACGACGACGACAACGACGACGACGACGACGACGACGACGACGACGACTACGACGACGGCGACGACGACGACGACGACGACGGCCTGCCAGGCAAGCGGACCGCCAGCAAAAATGCCCGCCGGCGAAATCACGCAGAGAGGGTGGGTACGAAGAGAGAGGAGGAAGGAGCAACGTAGAGGAAAGGGGAGAAGGGCAGCAAAACGACACGCACATGGACTGAAGGCGACCAAAACGCACCAATCGACCGTGCCCCGAGGACCACTCCTAAGAAAGAGCGCACCCTGAGACCTTGCTGCCGGTCCCTCCCCTCCTGGGCCTTCCAGGACACCATGCCAGATCACCCCCCTGCCTCGTGCATTATTCGTCCTGCTTTTCCTCTATTCCTCCTCCTCCTCCTCATCCTCCTCCTCCTCCTCCTCCTCCTCCTCCTCCTCCTCCTCCTCCTCCTCCTCCTCCTCCATCCTTTTGCCTTATGCATAATTCCTCCTTCCGCCGACGTGTCGGCGGGGCGGGCCGGGCGTTTCGCATGAAACTTCCCCACCACGTATGACCCTAAACTTTAAAATTTCGAGAGAAAAAAAAATGTGAAGGGCGGGTCGCTTTCAAGATGTGGTGTTCGCCTTGGCGCCGTGCAGATTCGCCTTCAAAGTTTGAAACATGTTCAGGGATACAAAGGCGGGTCGTTTTCAAAATGCGGCACTCGCCACAGCGCCGCGGGCATTTATCTTAAAAGGTTGCAGCAAATTCAAAAACGGAGGGCGGCTCCCATTCGAATTAGCCTGACGAAGGACCCAACCATATGCAGTTGCGAGTACCGCGAGGGAGATGAGACGAAGGAGGGGGCGCGCAAACTCCGACTAGCTCTCGTAAGCAGCGCGCCGCAGCAAGAACGAAGCGCAGGCCAGTGCGGGCAAGGGCGGGGGGAAGGGGAAGGCAGCGGGGCGGGATGGTGGTCTGTACCACTGGGGCCTTCGGTGGAGCTCCGTATGAGGCCACGAACCGTGTGAAGGGTGTGCCAAAATTGTTGGCGGGGACACATGAAAACTGTGCAACTGGGGCCTTCGGTGGAGCTACCTATGGGGCCACGAACCGTGTGAAGGGTGTGCCGACATGCTTGGTGGGGACGCATGTAAACTGCGCCACTGGGGCCTTCGGTGGAACGGCTTCCTATGGGGCCACGAACCGTGTGAGGGATGTGCCGTAATGGGTGGCGGAGACGCATGTAAACTGTACCACTGAGGCCTTCGGTGGAATTCCCCAAGGAGCCACGAACTGTGTGGGGGGTGTGCCGAAATTGGCGGCGGGGACGCGTGTAAACTGTGCCAGTGGCATTCGGTGGAGCCCCCCATGGGGCCACGAACTGTGTGAAGGGTGTGCCGACATGGGTGGCGCACATGTAAACTGTACCACTGGGGCCTTCGGTAGAGTCCCCTTATGGGGCCACGAACGTGTGAGGGGTGTGCCGAACTCTGTGGCGTGGACGCACGTAAACTGCGCCACTGGAGCCTTCGGTGGAGCTTCCATGGGGCCACGAACCGTGTGAGGGGTGTGCCGACATGGGTAGCGGGGACGCACGTAAAATGTGCCACTGGGGCCTTCGGTAGAATTCCCCAAGGAGCCACGAACCGTGTGAGGGGTGTGCCGTAATGGATGGCGCGCATGTAAACTGTACCACTGAAGCCTTCGGTAGAGCCCCCTTATGGGGCCACGAACGTGTGAGGGGTGTGCCGAACTGTGTGGCGTGGACGCACGCAAAGTGCGCCTCTGGAGCCTTCGGTGGAGTCCCCCATGGGGCCACGAACCGTGTGAGGGGTGTGCCGAAATGGGCGGCGGGGACGCACGTAAAATGTGCCACTGGGGCCTTCGGTGGAATTCCCCAAGGAGCCACGAACCGTGTGAAGGGTGTGCCGAAAGGGGTGGCGGAGCGCATATAAACTGTACCACTGAAGCCTTCGGTGGAATTCCCTGTGGGGCCACAAACCGTGTGCAGGGGGGGCCGAAATTGTTGGCGGGGACGCATGTAAACTGCGCCATTGGGGCCTTCGGTGGAGCCCCCCATGGGGCCACGAACCGTGTGAGGGGTGTGCCGACATGGGTGGCGGGGACGCATGTAAACTGTGCCACTGGGGCCTTCGGTGGAGCCCCCCATTGGGCCACGAACCATGTGAAGGGTGTGCCGACATGGGTGGCGGGGACGCATGTAAACTGTACCAATGGGGCCTTCGGTGGAGCCCCCCCCCTATGGGGCCACGAACCGTGCGGGTGGTGTAACGAAATAGATCACGAGGCAGAGATGGAAGGAGGGAGAAGAGGAAGGAACAAGGCGGGAGGAGGTGAACGCGGGGCGCCGTCTCTTCAAAACGAAGACCCAACACCACAGGATGGTTGGGAAATGGGGCTCTCGCCGTAGCGCCGCCCACTTTCGTCCTGACAAAGTGTCACCTATTTCAAGGATTCGTGTGAAGTTCCAGGAACAGTGCCCTGGCATGATGTAGGATTGTCAGACCGCAAAAGTCACGTTGGTTCGAGATGTTGAATTCCCAGGAACGGCATGTGGCACGATTGGGGATCGTCAGGGTGCAACAGTCACGTTGATTCCGATGCAGGGTTTATTGCAACATCGTTGATGTGTATTGACTTTACACTGGTTATCATTTTCTTTCTCTTCCTCCTCCTCCCCGTCCTCCTCCCCCATCCTCCTCCTCCTGCTCCTCCTCCTCCTCCTCCTCCTCTTCCTCCTCCTCCTCCTTCTCCTCCTCCTCCTCCTCCTCGTCATCCTCGACATCCCGCGGGCTGGCGCACCCCCCTGCGTAGCCACTCCCGTCGGGCCCCCGGTGGTGCAGGCGCTCGCACAGCTCTCGGAGCAGCCGTTCCTGAGGGCGGGGGGGAAGCTCGCGCAGCGGGGGGCCAGATGGCGGACAGAGGACGGGAGACCCGGCGGCGCACCCAGGGGGCCACTCGGAGGGGGCAAGCCTTCTCCAAAGGCAGCGGAGCTTCTGAGAAGCCCTCCAGCCTTCTGAGAAGCCCTCTGTGGTTTCGGAGAAGGTTTGGGAAGCTTCTCAAGAGGCCCTCCGAGCCTCCTGAGAAGGCCCGCCCCCTGCCTTCCCCACTCGGAGTTCCGCCGAGCAAGGGAAAGGAGGGGCAGCTAGGCACGAGGGCAATTGTACCCCCCTCCCTGGCGACCGGAGCGCGCCAGTGGCGGCGCTAAAGGCGCCGCCAGTGGGGGCCCACCGCGGATCCAAGAAATCCGCGCGGAGCGCCAAAAGTTTATGTCTGTGGCGCTTTTTCATCTTCAAAGGAAGAAGGAGGAGGAGGAGGAGGAGGAGGAGGACGTGGAGGAGGAGGAGTTCGCTGGAATTCGCCGACGAGCACAGTGCGGTGGCGAGTTCGGCGAAGGAGCAGACCAGGCGGGCCGCCACAGAGGTCGGCGGCCCCGCCGGCACGAGCTGTCAGGGCGGCCGCGCGCGGCCTTCCACTGGCCCCGTGCAGGCACGGAAGAGGCCCCTGCAAAAGAGGCAGGCACCCCGCCTGAACCAGCCGCCAAAGCGGCCGCGCGTGAGCCCCCCCCAGGGGCCAGCGTGGCCAGGGAACAGAAGCAGCGTCCGAAGCGGGAAGCGCGGGTTCTCCGCGAAGTGCACCACACGCCCCACAGAGCACAGATCTCTGCGAAGAACCCAACCATCTGCAATTCTGAATCACGCGGTTGTGACCGTCCTCTGCGGTGGAGCCCGTTCTAAGGCCACGAAACTTGTGATGGCTGTGCCAAAATGGGTGCGATGCCGCCACGCGAACGCAACCTCTGGGCCTTCGATGGATTCCCCTGTAGCGCCACGAAACGTGTGAAAGGTGTGCCAAAGCCGGTGCAGTGCCGCCACGCGAGCGCCGCCACTGGGGTTTTCGGTGGAGCCCCTTTCCGTGGGGCCACGACATTTGTTTGGGGTGTGCCGAAACGGGCCCGGTTCCGCCATGCGAACGCAGCCACTGGGACCTTCGGTGGAGCCCCCTGTGGAAGCACGACGCGTTTGACGGGTGTGCCGAAATGGACGCGGCGCCGCCATTCGAATACGACCATTGTGGTCCTCGGTGGGGCATCATAGAGGACCACGAACAGGGTGTGGTGCCGCTCTGCGAACGCAGCCGCAAGTGTCTTCGGTGGAGTTCCCTCTGCGGCCACGGAACGTGCGCGAGCGGTGTGCAGGCGTGGGTGCGGCGCCGCCACGCGAGCGCGGCCCGTGGGCCTCGGCAGAGCTCCCCGCGGGGCCACGGAAGGAGCGAGGGGTGTGCCGGCATGGGTGCGGTGCCGCCACGCGAACGCAGCCATTGGGGTCCTCGGTGGAACCTTTTTGAGTGGGGCCATGAAACGCGTGATGCCTGTGCGGAACGGGGCGCGGTGCTGCCATGCGAACGCAGCCGCTGTGGCCTTCCGTGGAGACTCGTATGGGGCCACGGCGCGTGCCAGGGGTGTGCCGACGTGGGCGCGGTGCTGCCATGCGAAGGCAGCCACTGGGGCAGTCGGTGCACCTCCGTGCGGGGCCACGAAACGAGTGAGGGCGTGCCAGGAGAGGAGGATGCAAGGATGCAAGGATGCAAGGATGCAAGGATGCAAGGATGTGAGGATGTGAGGATGTGAGGTGTGAGGATGCAAGGATGCAAGGATGCAAGGATGCAAGGATGCAAGGATTCCGCGGAAGGCAGATGCAGGGATGTGAGGAGGAAGCAAGGAGAGGGCAGCGGGAGGAGGCGGAGAGGAGAGGACGCGGGGCACTGCCTCTTCGAAACGAGCACCCAGCACCACAGCGTGGCCGGGAACAAGACGACCTCGCGCCAGAGCAGCGAGGCCTGCCACAGGCAGCGCTCCTTCCCCACCACCGCCACCGCCACGCCGCACGCCTGCCGAGCCGCCCCAACCCCCATCGGTAGAACTCGAGAGGTACCTCGGCGCTTCAGCGCGTTGCGTCCCAGCGGTCGCCAACCCCGAGGGAGGAGGGAGGAGGGAGGAGGAGGAGAGGAGGGAGGAGGAGGAGGAGGGAGGAGGAGGAGGAGGAGGAGGAGGAGGAGGAGGAGGAGGAGGAGGAGGAGGAGGAGGAGGAGGAGGAGGAGGAGGAGGAGGAGGATGAGGAGGAGGAGGAGGAGGAGGAGGAGGAGGAGGAGGAGGAGGAGGAGGAGAGGCTCGAGGGCGAGACTCGACGGACAGCGACGACCGCGCCCGCCGCGCACCAGACAGCGCTGGCTTCGGAGCAGGGCCCCGCGGAGGCCCGAGGCCCCGCCAAGGCCCTCCCGAGGCCGAAAAGCGGCCCACGGGGGCAACACTGACGGGGTCAGCCGTGACCCGCGCAGCTCGCTCACTGACGAGCACGGCCATGCAAAGTCTGAAATCAAAACACAGTGGCCCATCTCCCTCGGGAAGTGATATACCTAGATCTAGCATATACATATTAATGTATGTGTGTGCGTTCCGTCGCGGCAACGCGCCCGGCGGCGAGGCATAAAGGTCCGCACACACGCACACACACACACACACACACACACACACACACACACACACACGCACGCACGCACGCACGCACGCACGCACGCACGCACGCACACACACACACACACACACAAACACACACACACACCACACACACACACACACACACGCGCGCGCGCGCGCGCGCGCACGCACACACACACACACACACACACGCGCACGCACGCACACGCACGCACACGCACGCACGCACACGCACGCACACGCACGCACACGCACGCACGCACGCACGCTCGCACGCTCGCACATGTTTCCCTCCGCCGGCGGAGAGACGTCAGTGTCGCGCGAGCGGAACGGTCACCCGCGCGGCGGCGCGGCGCAGAGAAGGCCGAGCAGGACAAACGCGCGGGCCTGGCAAGCTCACGCAGCGTGAAGGAGCCATATCCGCTAATAGGAGATCAAAAGCCAAACACACACACACACACACACACACGCAAACACGCACACACACTTGTTGGCGTTGCGGTCACGCACGCAGCGACGCGGCAGTCAGTGAAGCGTGAACGCCGTGAACCACACACAAACACACACGCGCGCGCGCGCGCGACACGCTGTGCTTGGGATTAGGCTCGGAGAAGGATGGCCATGGAAACGAGGATGAGGAGGAGGACGATGACCAGAGTAAGCCCAGGATGCATGAGCAGTGCTGTCCTACGCCCTCCGCTTATAAGCCCCCTGCTCGTCTGCCCAGCCTCCCTCTTCACTCAACTTATCATCACCATGGAGTTATTAAATGCAACAAATGACAACGCACATAAAAATTATTTGTATACTAAGGTTTTTAATAACCCAATATGGTCTTAAATATTTTGTAATTACTTTTTCCACAAAATGAATGTCAAAAGTTTTTTGAAATATCAAGGAAGAAATGCCCCCTTGAAACCTGGCACCACATGGGCCTGCCGTTCAGGCGACAGGCCCCGTTTCAAAAAAATGGAAAATTGCACCCCTTGCCAACGAGATATCCCCGTGTTGAAAAAGGACCGCCCTCACCCGTGTGCTCCAGATTTCGTAATAGAAGGGAGGGGGTCTGGACCCTCCAAGACAAGCCATTTCAGACCCCCCCCGTGGGAGAACCCTCCAAAACATCGTCCCCAGACCCCCCCAGGCCCTCCAAGATAGCCTGGAGGAGACCCCCCCCGAAATGAGACCCCCCTCCCTTTATTACGAAATCTGGAGTATCTATGGGCATGAAATCTGAGGACGTCTCGAACGCATGAAAAATCCGGCCCGTAGATTGAAAAGATTATCAAATGAGAGCCCGCTTGAAAACAGCTCCACATCCGGCCATGTAAATGTTGTAAAATTTTGAAACAGCTGTGCGCGGCGCTAGAGCGAGAGCCCCATGTAGAAAAATCACCCACCTCCATCATTGTAGCTGCTGCAAGCGTTTGATCCGAGTGTGCGCGGCGCTGAGGCGAGGCCCCCATTTTGAGAAGGAACCGCCATCCATTATGTTGCAAGCGTTTGAAAAGAATGCGAGCGGCGCGAAGACCAGAGCGCCATGGTAAAAACGCCCCCCCTCCATAGCTGTAAGTGCTGCAGGCTTTTAAGAAACATGCGCGCGTCGCCAAAGCAGAAGACCCATATCGAAAA